ATTAATTGACATAAAATAGTGAAAAATAACTGTTTTTGCGACTTATTTAGAGCGTTTGTTTACTCTGACAAACGACCCAAAACCCAGAAGATATTCAAGTTTCTATCACGGCAAATATTCACATTTAATTGGGGGCATTTTCCGCTTCATAAAGGACCTAATGTGATTAACTAATGATCTAAATTAAACCGAATTTTCCCTTTTCCGTCCTGTTTTTAATGCAAATAAACTACATAAACACGCTCAAATCTTTCCGCCTCTCTCATCAATATGCTCTATTGTGTACTAAGTCGCTGCTTCGACATATGTTTTGGCTTAGTTAGGACAGTAAGCAACACACACACACACACAGTAGAGACAATAGCATCTCTATCTGATGGCATCCTCATCTACCCCCCGCAGTGCAGATTGCTACTGGAGGCTACCTTTACTGGAATGCAGGGAGTAACACACACACAACACACACACACACACACACACACACACACACACACACTGTTTACCAGCCCGAGACATTTGGTTGCATACCTCCGACCACATGTCAAAACATTCTTTGGTAAAATCCCTGGATTTCTGTTACCGTCAACAGCGGGGTCGAGAGAGAGAAAGATTATCGTCTCCGATCTTTGTTGCCTGTTCGGGGGCGAATCAAGACGTTCTTCTTCGGCGTTTTGAAACACACTCTGCTGGTACGCAACGGGCCAGAAGAAAGAGGGAAAAACTCTTATCAACAATCCTTCAAACCCACACTGGAGCCGTTCCCAGGTTGATTTAACTGAGGTGAACTTGTGCAACAAGATCTTTCATACTCCTGCAGCAGCCTTTTCGTTCACGTCAAAGTAGATGAATGATTTGCAGAGGACAGGGGATCGATCATTTTAAGGGGTCTTTGGGTTGTTTTTTTTCTATGATAAAACCTGTTGAAACCAGTAGCAAGAGACAAAGAATGTGATGATCTGTAAGAGTCCAACACGGAGGCGAGATAACAGCCGTCTCTGATAAGAGTTTCACCTGATCTTGAACGTTTGTTTGTAACTCGAAACCTTTTGATAAAATACGTTTTGTCTCAGACGAGAGAACCTCAGATTTAAAAGATTTACAGTCCGCTAAGAACTACACAACTCTCTCAAGTTTACATCTTACAAGCGACAATTTACTGCAAATTCAACCGTTTTGACCGATCGTTCTGTCCATATTCCGCAAATCTGACCAATCGTCGTGGTTTCCGGCGACTTTAAACGACGATAGCAGTCGGTCGGTGTACTTTACAGCCAACGGATTGACGTTTTGTAATGAAAACAGTCAAAATCCTGCAAAAAAAAAGCCTAAAAAACATCACAATTCTTTAGAGAAGTTGTTGTGAAATCAGGCATCTCAGGCTGCAACTAAATCCTGAGGGGACTGAATGAGAACATCATGATTCACCAAAAACAGACACCAGAAAAAGAAGGAGTTCATATGCAGGATACATGAATTGTACCTTTGGGGAAACTAAACCACTAAATACAGACTTTCCAGCAGCGTCGTTCCTTCGCCTCGTTCGCTCGGTTCACGAGTCCACAACCCGACAAGGAGCCCGGTCGGAGTCGCCTCCCGTCGTCGGTCAGCAGTTCGCTGTTGGTTTCGGTGGTCGGGCATCCCGGGAGACGGGCTGATTGTTTGGTGGGTTGACTGAATCCAGACTTGTAAAGCATGTGGACCACAAAGAAAATGGACTGCTTAGCGCTCAGCCAGCGGTAACCAAGCTGGTGGTCGGTAAATACTCTCTCGCTCTCCGAGTACTGGACCGGTTTCCTCAGGTGGAAAGTGAATGCACGCCATATTGGTTTGAACCTGACATACAAGTTATAAGCTTTAAGGTAGAAGGTGCAGTTTAAGTCTAATGAAGCCTCTTTTTCTCTTTGATATCTACTAGTATAACATATACAAGACATAAAACCTCTTGGAAAACAGAGGTTACAACAGGTAACAACAACTACCGTGCCTCCAAAACAAACACACAGACACACACAAGCAATGGAAATAATGACGATAATGAAGGCTGTGCACCAGTGAGTGTCTGCGTCAGTCCACTCAGACAGACTCTTGTACAACATGTAGAGTCTGATGCTCGTTTAGATAGCAGACATGGTCTGCGGAGGTCTGGTGGGAAACACACAAGAGACCAGAGAGTTCACACGAGCAACTGGGATCCGTCAAAACAACTGCTTCTGTGTTAAAAACATTACACGATTTAACCGATTCTTAAATTAACAGCCGTCAAATAAACTCCCCGAAACTTCACCAGCCAATGAATTATAACAGCGCCCATCTTTGGAGGTTTTAAGGCGAAGACGGACTCCAAACTGTCCCGTGGGAAACACCGCCTTCAAGTCAGGGATCGCAGCCAACGAAGAACTGTCGAGCAGACACGAACTCACAGAAAACATGTTCCTCGTAGCAGAAACCGGCCGGGGAGCTCACAGTAGATCATAAAACCACATATGAAAGTGAGCTGACAGCTCAACAGCAGCTGCTCTGTCAAACACAACAATGAAAGGAACTCACCACTTAGTCATCACAAACCACATTTTGACAAAAGGACATTAAAGAAACACATGGGAATGACAACTGGTGGAGGTTTCAGTGAGGAATTACCACCAAAAACATCGTTTTTAAGTCTGTAAACATACACGGAGGTCAAGCCCAGGCATCCAACATGCACATAAAGTTCATGTTTGTTTGTATTTATGTGTTTTTATTCAATTCAATCTACCATTATTCAGTTTAAATTTATCTTTTTGAGAGAGAGTGCGAACGGTTTTCTGGGATTT